GAAGAGCGTTACATCAGAAAACGGGGATTTGGGGTTTTTTGGGCGGTGCTTTGGTGCGTTTCTTTGGGAAGAAGCTATAAACCAGGAGGGAAAAGCAGCTGCAGGAGGGGCCGTGTGCCGCCATTTTCCACCCCCGATGGGTCCCTCCATCACAAATCCTGGGCTCAGCAAGTGGGAGCCAAATAAACACAGAAATACGTATTTCCATCTTTCAGTCAGAAGTAGACACTCTCCACCTAGGCCAAACAACTCCTGTCCTCCCTTGAGACAGGATCCAAGTGGTGTTCTCAGCTCAGGAGCAGAAATCTGAGGTAGACATTTCTGCTACCGAAGATGCAGCGATGCCAACAACTGGGCCATCCACCTGAATTAGTCTTAACCATGGTTATGTTCAACACTCTGACCTAAATCTCCTTTTCTACATGAACCAACTCTCCCAGAGGGTTTTTGACTTGGGCAGCAGGAGCAAGCCCAGCTGCCAAGCGGGCAACTCTAAATGTCTAACTCCAAACACGCCACCCCAGATGTGCCGCAGCGTGCAATATGAAGGACACTGAAATGGAGCAGGGACCAAGCCACTCCTCAGTTTGTGAACTGTGGCTTTACAAAGCTGCCAAACCCCACGGGCGGTGAGAAGTTATCCAGCGGTCCCCTCTGGTATCTGATGAGGGGTCAACGAGAAGTATATGGTACCCCTGGATGCAATAAAAGCGGGTATGAATTGTCACCTCCTGGGTCACAAATGTACCATCAGCTCCACAGCGTTACGGACAGTGCAATGGGGACCGTTCCGGCCTGCAAGCAGCAGAAGATGCTCTCCAGTGTCAGTCCAGGTCAGGCACCGCTTCCCACCTCCACCATGTTGATTGTGGAGATTAAGGAACAAGGGATAGCAAGTTTAGGAGGCCCAAAGCCCAAATAGGCAAATTATTTGGGGCATCTGACTTCTGTTAAAATGTGTGGGAATAGGATGCTCAGCTCACCCTTTGGATCTATGCCCAAGGTTTTCAGGATTCCAGCTAGAAAATCTGTGAGGTTAGGAGGCAGAAGGACTTGGCACCAGTCCCGCTTCTCCTCCTCTACAAGAGCAGCCCACCAGTCATGGGAGGTGCTGCCATATGCTCGACCTGCCTCCCCAAATCCACCACACTTGAGTGACCAACTGACAGGCTAAAGCCCTTTCCTTGAACCTGCACACAGCTGAAAAACCAGCTTTGGTTGAGCCATTTCAGAGTCGGTTCCTCAGTGACAATGATCCTCCTGCACTGAGATCTGTGTGGCGAAGGGGCACATTCCTATACCAGGAGACTCGCTGGAGAGGAGAGAGGTGAAACAGCAGCTCCCTTAGGTCTGGGAGGGAGGTTTTGTTCATGAAACCACAGTACCAAGTGCCAGGGCACTGCAAAAGCTTCCTTTGCCATAAGCCAAGGCTTTTTGCTCCAGCAACAGCCCATGCCTCCTCTCCCCATTAGCTCCAGAGCTCCCAGTTTAGGAGCCACATGTCTGTCCTCGGGAGTGAAGCACATTCAAGAACAGAACTGTTGGGTGGTGCGTTCAGCATGTCCAGCCAAAGGCTGTGTTCAAGTCCAGTGGACACAACGAATCCTATTTTGCCGTGTAAATGGCTAACATCATGCCAAACATTTGTTCAGTTGGAGAATTGCTAGCTCACCATCTTCCCATTTTGAAACCAGTGTTGCACCAAGAGATAGATTTGTTATGAACACAAACACGCCATAAGAGTTTTAACACGGGACTTAAATAACTGCAAGCAAAGGAAAAGATGCATATGGAAGTGAGCTAAGACAATTACGCAACCAGGCCTCAAACCATAAACTCCGAAGTCCCTCACATGCTCTCTGTCCCACTGTCTGCCTGAACCATTAAAGACTCTTTTACCTCTGGTTCTACCACCTTCCCAATGCTATCTGCAATTCAGCTTTTTCCTTCTGTAACAGGGGTTCCTAGCTCCACTCAGTTGCAGGAACCTTTGCCTCGAGTGCACTCTGGGTTCCGAAATGGCAATCAGTACACAGGATGCCAGGGTGCAGATGAACACTGATGAGACAGATGGGAAGGCTGAGCACAGTCAGCCAGGAACCAAGTAAAAACACTGAAGGGCAGGAGGATGCTTAAGAACATCAGTGCCCCCGGATGCCTCCATTATGCCATGGAGACATTTGCCTTCTCCAAATGTCTCCATGGCATAATCCTAAAACCATTCCTACCCAACTCACCGAGGACCTTGAAAGTCAACCGTTAACCACCTCCTGGAGCAGAGACTATGAGTCCTCATTTGACCGGTAGATGGAGAGTGCCTACTCCCACCGAAATCAAGGATGTGGGTCAACTTCTTTTTTAAAGCGTTTTTCCCCACTGATGATCAGTACAACGCAGGCCAGGAAGAGACGCTACCTCTTGGATGGCAAGTTGGGCAGACAACTCATGCTCACCCCAAAGACACAGCAGCATAGCCAGGGAAGAGGTCACCTTTCATTCATGAGCAAAACCAGCCCCAAAAAAAGACCCCTTCCCAGAGGCCAGAAACCCCCACCACAAGCCCACACAATAAATTACACCGCAAGAAGAGATAAATGAGAGATAAATGAGGAGTTACTTACTATAGGAGTAGCTGCTAACTTCAGATATTGCTGGTGAATGGGAAACCTTGAGCTGATTTTTGACTTTTAACCCCACCTCCATTTTCTTCATTTTGGCAGCCACTTTGTTTTTACCTTCCTTGGTGGTTTTCAGTGACAGGCCCAGGTTCTTGGCCAGGCTCTTCTTCTCCTCTTTGCTTGGCAGAGCCTCGTGGGGTGGGAGGTATCTGCTGCCACCTCCACTAGTTTTTGGCTTTCCCCCAGAGCTGTCGGCAAACTTAAAAGGGGATTTGAGCTTGTCTTGTTTGGTGAGCGACAGGGCCTTGTCAAGCTTGCTGGCCAGCTGCTCCTGATCTGATGGTACCTTCTTCTTCTTGAGCTTTAACTGCCGAGGTGAAAGGAAGAGACACAGGTGAATACAGAGCAGATATCATGGCAGACCTGAGGTATTTTACTAGCCCTCATAACAGTCTCTTATTCATACTAGTTAGTAAGGCCTCAAAACGATGGGTTTAAGCCCCAGTTGCCATAACCCACTATGGTGCTAGGGAGGAAGAAGATGAAGATGTCAGCAAACAGCACAGCTCTACCCTTATCGAGCACTACAAAACCGCAAGACTAACTTAGAAAAATTGAGCTTGCTTCCAAAAGAAATATGTTCATAGAACACCATGTTTTGGAGTTCCTTTTTCTCCACACCTTCTGGTCTTTAGGATACGTTTGGGTTGGTTTTACAAGCTTTTCTCTAAATTGTGAGGATTAAGAAATCTTCTTTACCCAAAACCCCAGCCAAATGAATACGGATTTCCACATAATCAACAAGTTCCAGAGGCTGGGATGCCAAAAAGACCCAAATACCTCTCAGCAAGAGCATCAGCACCACTGCATTATAGCCAGGGCTGTTACACCCTTTTCAGTATTTTCTTGCTTCTTGAAAAAAGTAAATATACTTTACTTGTGCTACAGCTAGATAACAGCAGCTGTAACTCAGTACTTCGCCTGTATGCACTTTGGATTTCATCAGCAGCTTAAAGCTCCAGTAAATATCTCATCGCCTCAGCAGGAGCAGAAGAAAACCCTGCATTTAAAATAGCAAGGTTGCATTCCCTTTCCTCCCTCACTTCGGGAAGTCCGTTCCCCTCCGCTGTCTCGACAGGCAAAGGGGTAAGACAAGCACTGCTCTGGATTCAGAGCTAGCACAACGCTGCAATGCTCTGGCTGGCTCGAAGGCGCTTGTCTCTCTGCTGCCTACCAAAGAGGTACAAACTCCATAAGCCAACCGTAGCCTTTGCGAACACCCTTCCACCGCACAGACAGTCCTCTCATGAAAAGCTTCTAAACCCTGAACCGAGAGCAGACGCTCCAAGATCAGGAGGAGTTATCCAGTGCAAGCCAACACTAGCAAGGCAGGAAAGAGATCTGCTTTTGGCCCGTGGCTCCATGTTCCCCATGAGGGCACTGACCTCGTTTGAGAAGCTGGGAGCCGCATCATGCTCTTCCCAGCTCTGGTTCCTCCCTTTCATCTTGCCACTGCCACTCTCCACATCCTCGTCCTCCTCCGGGAGGGCCCCTTTGTGCCTCTTCTTCATGCCCTCGCCAGTCTCGGAGTCTTCAGAGAGCAACAAGGACTTGCTCAGTCTGCAAGCCAAGCACAGGATGGGTCAAGGTGGGGGGCTTTCCTCCCTGTGATCCCCATCAAGTTCAAAAGTGAGGTTAAAGGCCTCCTAGGACAGTGGGGATCCTAAACGGGAGCCAAGTCCATGTGAAGAGACAGCAGTTTGGACAAGGTTTTTCACCAAACAGAAGAGCCAAGGAGCCCTTCTTGCACACTCTTGGCCACCAGCACAAAAGAGGGTGCCTGAAATCAGAGACTTGCAAGGTGGTCTCTGAAAGGAAGTATTCAGTGTCTTGAGTGACAGCCACCAAAAAGTGCCTGATTTGGTATAGAGGAGCAGAGGGAAGGACAGACAGCTGAGCAGGCCCTGTAGGTCTTTTCCCACTTCTACTTTCATGGACTCTGTAGATGCAGAGAGAGACTCCCGAGGCCCAGGGAGGTGCCTCACTGCCCAGACACTTGCTCTGGTTGCTCGGGTACGAGCAAGGAGGTGGTAAGAAACCGCCACGCAGGGTGGCACAGAGGGACAAGGGCACTGCAGGGACCAGCTCGCTCAAAGGACAGGCAATCCACTTCACAAGCCTGGCCACTCTGCGAGAGGCATTTGGGATCTGCATCTTCGGTCTCGCTTTGGGATTTGGGGGGGAAAGGAGAGGATAAATAAATGATAAAGAAAACAAAAAATAAGGTAGGTGAGACTACAAGCACATCTTTCACTGCTCCCCAGCTGTCTCCTGTAACTATCTGATGGATGATCAGTTCACACCTCAAGACCTCTACCAAGCCTCCATTAAAAGCTCTCCTATGCCACCTCCTTCATGCTAAGCCTGCTGGCCCAGGTCATACCACCACCACAAAGCATGGGGCAGACTTCTCAGCTTCCAGGCATTTCTCGTCCCGTCCGGCCACTCTGCTGACCTCCACAGACAGCTAAACCAACACCTCAGGCCCTGGACATTGGCTCAGGGTTGGGGGCGTGCACACACAACACAATCATGCACGCACACATGCACAACTCCAGCCACCTCTGGATGCCTCCAGCCTGCCCAGCCATCCAAACAAGAGGAGCAAAACACAAAGCCACCAAGAGGACAGATTTTCAGAAGCACATGGTCAGTGGGAGCTGGATACCCGAATCTAATTTGTAGCCTTGAAAGGACATTTGCAAAAATACATAGCACACAGGGAGACAGCTCAGAGGTGCCTTCCCATTGGAGGGACTTGGCCATTCATAGACCGTTAGATGGCCAACGGTGGTGAGATCCAAGCATCCAAACAAGAGCACCTGGACTTGCAAAAGAGAAGAAAGCAGCAGACAGAATGATCCAGACACTTGAAAGAGAGAGGTCAGGCAAAACCAACTCCCACTGATTAAGGGAACAGGAGATGAAGACAGCAGAAACACAGCAGAAAGGCCCTACGAAGTAGATAACCTCAAACAGTCCTGTCCTTCCAGTTTTTGACACCAGCATCAATTAGCTCTACAGCAACCGTTGGCACCATCCGCTCTCCTGAAAACACATGAGGATGCGCTCCCTGACACCAAGAGCTCACCTACAGGTCCCTGCCCAGCCGGCTGCTCTGCATCACCTCACCGCCGCTCAACTCAGCCTGTCCTACTTGCACACAATACCACAGACACGTGCTCTACCAGCGGGGAGGGAGGAGGCTGGCACCGTATTCCCACTGCAAAGACACACTCACGTTAAATGCACACGCTTCCACAACACCGCTGCCGCCAGAGACCGGCCTGCCAACACAACGCCACAGTGAGCCCCCGCCGCATCCGAGATGCTCTCCCCAAGTAGACCCTGGTGCAGCGACCCTGCCATTTTCCCATCTTCCCCAAATTCCAGCCTTACTTTCCACTCTTGCTGTCACTCTTCCCTCTCTCCTTAATGGGTGACAGAGCGCTTGATCCAAGTTTCCTCTTCCTGGGCCTTCCAGGGCCTCTTCTCGCCAAGCTTCTACTTTTCTCGTCATGCTTTTCCCTTTAAAAAAACCACACGCTTCACTGTTAACCAAGGCAACAAAAAAAAGAAAAAGCAAAGAAAAAAAAAGCAAAAGCAAATTTTGCAACCAAAGAGCAAAAAAACAGGAAAAAAAAAAAATAAAGCAAATAAATCCAAAAAAGAAGAAAAAGGGAAAAAAATCAAAAGAAAGCAAGCAAGAACGGGAGCCAACCCAGAACCTTCGCCTGTCACCAAACCGCTAAACTGAGCTGCTGAAGCCAAGGTTGTCTCTAATACGGTCTCCCAGCTGCGTTCACCAGTGACCAGGCTGTCGTGTCACATAGCCTAGGAGTGTGTTGTGCAAAGCTCTGGCGGACCATACCAGGAGGAGAGGAGAGGAGAGGAGACAGGGAGGGATGGAGGGCTGTTTTCTCTCCTGGACCGAGAGGCAGTGAAAGTGCCCAGCTGGAAAAAAAAAGACCGAGTGAGCAGCTTGCGACTTACTCGGAGTCCCTGCGGCGCTGCAGCTTCACCAGCTCCCGCTGCTTCTCCTTGTACCGGAGCAGCAGCTCCGCCAGCCTCATCCTGTAGTCCAGCTCCATTGCATCCATATTCTCAATGGCTGATTTGATGGAGTACATCTGGGGTGGGGATGCAAAAGGGGGCGAGGAAGTCAGGACATGTCCAGGCCCCCATCTAGATCAGTGCACAGTGGGGTGTCCTTGCAATGGCCAAGATCTGAGGCCTGGCAGGGAAGCCCTCCATGCTTACAGTGGAGCAGAGCACCCTCACCCACAACAGGCACAGCCCTAGAGTGGTACCCATGCAAAACCACCCAAGCAAAGATGTTCTGTGTCTTATGGATGGGATGGTATCAGCTTTGAGGGAAAGCAACCCCAGGAAAGAACCTGCAAGGTAAAATACACCCATGGAGTCTCTCTTCCTTTATTTAAAAAGACAGATCAAAATATTCTCTGTCTTGGAACACTTACTTGCTGGGTACAAAATAATTTGTCAGTCTCTCCCACGGGGAAGAGTCAGCAAAATAAAAACAAGGAAAAACCCTCCTGCCACTATCTTCATTTATCCCCCCCTGCCAAAGCAGTAACATACGAGTTCCTGCTGGCTTTGTATTACAAACACCACTTCTAGGGCTGCTGAGGGTCCTGCTGAGATCAATGGTGTTGATTCACAAACAAGGGAGGAAGCTAAACCGCACCACACCGACTCCTGCACAGCTACGAACACGATGTGAGGGAAGCGCCGGCTCACTTTGCTGAATGCAGAAGGGTAACACAAGCCGGGTGGCAAACTGCGGCTGGAAGAGCAAGCCGTGGTGAGTGGATGCACCGTGGTTTTTCAGGCTCAGCCACACTAAGAGCTACTTACAGGTTCATCTTTCTTCTGCATCCAGCTGTACTTTTTGTTGGGATTCAGCTCTCGAGGCAGACGGATGGTTTTCAGACTTTCCATAAAGGGGGTGGAAAGTACTTCCATGAGCATGTGGGTGCTGGCAGCCAGCAAACTCTCCAGTGTTGGCCGGACAGGAAAACTCTCTGGACCTGCTGAGGACAGAAAAAAAAGCTATAGAGGTTCACTCTCCAAGGCTGCTTCTCCAGCAGGCACAAGGAGAGGCTGATGTCTCTTTCTGGACCATGGCAGCTCAAAGAGCTTCCCAGCCACCCTTGGCCCCCACTTGAGATCTCCTGTTGTGCCCAGCCATGGTGCAACTGGCAGTTCCCATCACGTCTCGCCTCAGGAAGTTACTGGAAGGTGAGATCTTTTCAGGACCTGCCAAGCTCTTGGAAAGCATCATCTGGAGCTACTGGGGCCTCTTGTGCCAAACCCTGACAGACTGTAGACTCAGGGCCTGCCAGAAGGGTGTTACCCTGGCAGCTCTCGGCAAGTGGGGCTCCGTTTCCGCTACACATACCACAAACTGTCTAGACATGGCGAGGGCCTTTGGAAGGGGAGAGCGGTACAAAAGCCACACGTAGCTCAGCCTACTGCAGCAAAAACCCTGCTCCAACTCCATCCAAAGTACCAGCCACTCCTGCAACTACAGGGCAATGCTCTCCTTGCTGCCTGGCTGAGTTTGCAAGAGATCCCACCTGTGCCTCTGCTCCTCTGCCCACACAAAGCGTGCCAGGGCCGTATGCAGGGAGACCCAACCTGGCCCAAGGCTGGCCAGACTCCGCACTTGCAACTTACTTTGTATTTCTTGCTTCCTTTTCTCCAGCTCCATCTCTGCAATTTCACTCAGCAAAGTGATCCCTTGCAGGAAGGAATGCTCCAAGGCCTGGTCAGGTAACACCTCCACCTTCAACTGGGATGGAGTGACACTGGCGGTGGTCAACAAGGAACAAGCCTGAGGCATTTCTGTGGCAGGCACCAAAGCGTTCATCCCAGCCAGTGGGTCGCCCGGCTTGATGTCCAGAGCTGGGATTTGGCAAGAGATTGCCTCTTCCGTGTAGGAAGGGATCTCTGGCTCCTGCTCCCCCTCCTCAGGGGGCAGGTTAGGAAACTCCCGCCCCCGGGGCACATCGGCATTCTGCAGATCCATGGCTACAGAGGCCTCCTCCCGCTGGGGCGTCAAGTCCATCTCAGGTGGCTCGTTCTCTGTGTGCACGAGCGAACCGTCATAGTCCATGTGCACAGAGCAGGTCTCTGCTCCACTCCCAGTCTCTGCCTGAGCCTCTGCTTCTGCAGGGCAGGCCACAACCTGGTAAGGAGGTGGGCAGCTCTGGAGGTCTTCCTGGTCCTGCTCCATAGCACCCAGGGCTTCACCTTGATGCAACAGGAGATTGCAATTGTCCACATTCTGCACTGGGACGGCTGCAGAGGCGGTGATGTTCAGAGTCCCCACGTCCTGCTCACAGATGCCTTCCTGGCTTTCCTCCATCTGCACCTCTGATTTCACCCTCTCTTCCAAGGACTCCTCTTCTGCTGCTGCTTGGATGGGCTCTAGCATTTTGGACGGAGACAGGTGGATGGGCTTGACCTCTGGGGAAAGTTCCATGTGCTCAGAGCCTTCAGCAGGCAGTGGGACATCAGGAGCCAGGCCATCTGCATCAGATGCTGCGGTGGGCTGGAGGAGGTAGGGATAGTGTCTTCCAAAGGAGGGAGGCAGGGACTGGAATGGATATCCTGGGGGGATCTCTGCAAAACATCGGAAGGGACAGGCTGTGTAATGGCCGGGTCTCCAAAGCACCTCTCTCACTAAGGCATAGAGATGGCTTCCCTTCATCTCTCATCTTTTCCTATTCTCAAGCAACGGCTGCTTTGGGCACCTCCCTCCTGTCCAAGTTGCCACAGGCATCAGCACTCCAGAGGTCCCTTCTACACCCTTCCAGCACTCTCCTGCAACTGGGGAGAGATCCTTCTCTCACTGAGACTCCAGCCCTGGAGGAACCAACCCAGGCTTGACCCAAGGGAAGAAGACAGCCTAAAGCCCCAGGTGCCCCTAGGACCCAGGCATCAATCCAAGTCCATCACACCACCCCTGGTCCTTGCCTCTCCCCAGCCTTTTAGAGGAGCTATGTGGTTTTTCTCTAGGGGAAGGGATGGAAGCAGGAAAGAGCCAAGGAGAAAGAGGGAGGCAGGCACAAACACAACGGGACTCTGCCAAAGCAGGGCTCTCTTACCTGGGAATAAGGCCTGATATGGACCAGCAGCCTCTTTTTCCAGCTCCAGGTCTTTCTTCTCCACGGTCTCGGGCGTCTCTTCCTTTGGAGGGATGGCAGGGGCAGGGGGTGGAGAGGCGGGGGGCGGGCTGGAAGGATGGGAGCTGGGGGTGGCGGGGTAGGAGTAGGCTGGCTGCGAAGGTGGCTCCTCCATCTTTTGGATCACCTCAGCTTTGAGCACAGACACGGGTGAGGCCCTGGGAGAGAGGGGAGGTGGACTCACAGCCTTGCTGTAGGACGTGGAGGCGCTGGGAGACAGCACAGGTGGTTTTCGGTGCACCAGTCCCGGGGCAGAGGAGGAAAGGCCTGATTTGGCACTGTCCAGGCTCCGCTTCGTCACCTTCTCTTCCATATCTGCACGCTGCTCGTTCGCCTTCAACCTCTCCTGTGACAAGAACAAAGCAAAACTCAGCACGACATCTCTACCTGCTCCTGGAAAGCACAGATCTACCACTGAACAAGACCAAAACATGGTCTTATCAAACACGGACTGGAACAGAACACATGTTCCTCAGTGCAACACCACTTTAAGGCCAATCTGATGGAGGGTGACACTGATCTGTGATAGTTTTCTTTACAGATTCCCAGCTCCAGGAGTCATGTGAAGGGAGTCTCAACTTTCACTTGCAACCAAAGCAAACCATTTTTAAGTTTCCAGCCTAGAAAGCACACATGTAAAACGAAGACTGAAAACCAGATGACCACTGAAAAAATTAAATGGGTGTAAAACACCCAAGTGAAAGCTTGCAAATTCCAAAATCATTTGGTGAATGGAAGCTGGCTCCAGGACCCCGTGTGATTGCTGCCAGTATTGCAGCTGCTTCTCTGGGCCACTCAGGAGGTTTGTATGGAGATGACCAGGGATGAAAACACTCAACTAAACAGAGACATCCCTAGGGAAGGAATCAAGGTCGGGCTGCTGCTAGGCAGCTCTCCTGACAACACTGCTTAAAAGCTCTACACCAAACCCCTCCAAAACCCACCCCAGATATGCAGGATGCACTGAAAGCCTCATAGCCCGGGGCAGGATCGCTCAATGCATCCATACCTTTGAGACACATTTGCAACATGGGCACAGCTGCTTTTTCCCCCCCCAGACACCCCAACTTCAGGCTCTTTTTATGTCCAAGGAAGAAGCTCCTGAGAACATACCACGAGCTGGGCACTCCTCTGTAGCTCCATGGCGTGGGCTGCTTGCTGCTGCAGAATGTACAGCTCGTGCTGCCGCAGCAGCTGCTGATGGGAGAGGAGCTGGAGCTGGTGAGCATGCTGGAGGGAGCTCCTGGTCGGGGGGTACATAGCGGGCCACAGCGGGGGTGCCCGGTCCATCAGCTCCGCTGGGGAATGAGCAGAGATGCGGTCAGAGAGGCAGGAGGATGGGGATGGCTAGAGGATTCAGGATCACACAGGGCATCTGTTTCTACCCCAGTCCCAGGGGTGTGGGGGATGCCAAACATCAGGCTATACAGAAATGCAGCCAGAAATGCAGACGGGAAAGGGTGCGATCTTTCCCTCGGCAGCCCCACTCCCACCACCCCATGGGTCCTGGGGCCATCTCACATGCTTTCCTCTCTACACACCCTTGGTTTGACTGTCCCTGGCTGAGCCCACAAGTAGTTTCTCCTCATCAAGGACCCAAAGTCTGCAGAGTCCTGCAGGGGATGAGGAGTTACTGCTGAGGACTACACATTTCCATCTCTGAAACAAACCTAACAAGAGGCCAGCTCACACCCACCCTAGAGCTGTGGCTGCTGGTCCCCATGGGTACCTATGCTCCTATCTAGCCTTCTCCAAAGCCTGCTTCCCCCACAGCTGTCAAAGCATGGTCCTCAGGGACGTGCTCACATCCTTACCGAAGTGTGGCAAGTGCTCGCTGGGGATCACAACAAGCTGCCCCGACTGCGGGTCTCTGGCAAACTGGTAGGCGGAAGGGAGAGCTCCCCCCATGGCAGGGGGGAAGCCTGGAGTCATGCCCTGGTGCAGGGAAGGGTGACCAAGTCCTGGAAGAAGAAACACCACAGGGGATGAAGTAACACCACAGGGGAAGAAGAAACACAACTCAGGGGATGCAGGCAGCTCCTACCCATGCAAGAAGTCATCTACCACCTGATTGCTCCAAAATACCTCCTTCCCTTTCCCCTGTGATCATACAGCAGCTTCACTGGGTACTTAGCAACACCTCTCCCTGGATTGCATCAGTGTGTGAACCCCATGGACACATCGCTCCCTCCCAGGACACTCACCGTAGGGATGGCTGGCCAGCCACATGGAGGGGCTCCCCGTCCTGGGGAGCCAGGGGTGGGCTGCCAAGTGCGAAGCCGGGTCTGCAGACCAGCGCCCGGAGCTCGTCAAGGCTGGGCCTCCCGTCACCATGAGGTTGGAGTTCAAACCGTTCGTGGCGCAGCCAGAGGGGTGTATCCGGGCAAAATCTGCCAATTCCTTGCTCTCTCTGGTCATGGGGGAGGCAAGAGAGAGAGCGATAGAGGGTCAGAGTGCTGCGGGTTACTGTGCGGCTGGAGAAGCCCAGGGTTATGGACCAAGTCCGCTGAGCGAGTGTGTTTGCAAACTAGGGTCAGACACTCAAGGAGAGCCGTGATGGAGGTGGCTAACATCACATCCAGAATAAAACATCCCATCTTTTTGTCTCTTTGGAGCAGGCATGGATTTGCAGCAGTCTCTTACGTTTGCTCTGCTGCAGATTCAGGATCTGCCCTGCAACCCCATGGTACCCCACTCAGAACTCTTCTCCGCGCCAGCAAGGCTCGTGCCCATCAGCTTCACCAGGATGGATGCAACCGTGTCCCTCCTCCAGACAGGCTGTCCCCAAGCATGGCTTGTGGCACTGTGGCAAGAGACCCCCCCTCCAACCCTCACCTGAGCAGCTTTTCCTGATCCCGCTCCAAGCGCCCTGCCAGGAGATGGCTGTCCCGGTGGCGGCTCCTCTCATCCCCGCAATCATCTTCTGAGCGTCCATGCCCTAGGAGACAACTCAGCACTATCAGACATGAGCAACAGCCCAGGGAAAGCTGTCCCCTCTCCTCTGAGCATGGAGAGGCAGTACCCTGGGAGGCAGCGCACCCAAATGCCGCTGTCCCTAAGGCTGTATCAGGTTCAAGCCCTAAAGGACAGGACAAGGCTGTTTATGTGATCAAGATACTCTCACTAAGGCGGCTCCTGGTAGCACCCAGGTGCATGTGGTTTGAAGTCCATGCCTTCAAGCCATCAAGGGACCCACTCGCCAGGTCAGGCCAGTCTCCCAGGACAGGATAGCCACCAGCCTGGGAACAGCAAGACCGATGGGACCATTTTTGCTGAAGGACAGTGGCAGATTTCCCACCTCAGAAGGAGACAAGGCCCACCTAAATCCATGCATCAAACCACAAAGTCCTGCTTAACCCATCTCACGGGGGAGGATTTTATCGCTGCACCTTCTGAAGCACCTTCTGCTCTTGCAAACCAGTCTAGGAGCAGTGGATACGCTCTGAAGCCCTGTCCTTCAGCAACAGGCAGAACCAACACTACAGATCCTCACAAAACCAGCGTGCTCCACTCTGTAATTCAACCTGTTAGCAGGAATCTGCATCCCCCCTGCCCCAAGCTGTGCAACAAGAAAGGGCCTGGTGAGGCAGGGGCACATATGGCAGATGAGGGCAAGAGTCCAAAAAGGGGGGGCTGGATGTTTGGCTCAAGAAACGGCTCAACCAGAGTCAGAACAGCTCTTGCAAATACAGCCTGGCATGGTACCAGCTGCGCCTGTGAGAGGTTAGGAAGCACCTTCACAGCAGTGAAGAGCAGCTCCTCGCTGGCCCTGCCAGGACCAGGTATTGGGGCCACTCTTCCCTTATTTGATCCAAGATCCTCACCCCAGCTGCCTGATTTTAGACTTGTTTTTCCCTAGTTTTCTCCCTAGCTCCTTTCTTGCACATGCATTTTTTCCGTAATTCCCTGTTGCCCCTGTCCATGTTATGCTTTGGTGGTATGACCCGCTCCTAAATCCCAGCCCTGCTTGCAGCGAGCTGCCAGCCAGTCTGATGGGGCCAGGAAGACGGTGTTTGCTTCTCCCCAAGCTCTTGGTGCACCCTGCCAGCACATCCCCTGCCCAGGCGATGCTCGGCACCCCGCAGAGCTCAGCGGCACAGCATGGCCTCGCACGGCTGCACCCTGGCTCCCGGCAGCCCTTTCCAGGGTCCTCGTTCTCCCGCCTGGATAAGGTTTGGCACACGGGAAAGCATCTTGGAATATAAAGTCTATTTTGCTGACAAGCAGTCTTTTCAAGGAGGGCCCCGCTGTGTATTTCCACAAACCTGGACAGCCTGTGGGTTTTTTTGCTGTCAGGTCTCCAATTCCCTCAGCCTTTACTGTCAGAAGGAATCCAGGAACAAGACACCACCTCTCCCGGCTCCTCTCCCCAAGGCTCCTTCAATGGGCTTCAGGCAGAAAGCAAACATGCTTTAAAGCCTGGCGCACACCTCTCCCTCCCGAAGGACTTTCCAAGGGTCACCACATTCCCCTTGCAGCCTGCCAGGACACTGCGTGCAGTGGTTGTCCCCAACCAGCCCCTCCTCGACTCGCTGAATGATGCCCTGTGCAGCCTCTGTTGCTCAATTTTACTACCCAGCCTCCACGGCACGAGGCACCGGGGCTCATGAATCCCTCCAGAGCCCCAGCATCCCTTCCTGCCTCTCCGCCAGCATTCCCACTCGCACACAAATCCCTTTCCACTCCCTAGCCCAGGTTTTCTCCCTTTGGAGCCCCTTCTCCTATTTATTTTCCCCAATTGCCTCTTCGGTGTCAGCAATATGGAGCAAGCCCTTGGTTAACTCACAGCCTCCCTCTCCTCCTTGGCAGAAGGTGAGTTGACACCCCCCAGCCTTTATTAGAAATATATTATTTTACCTCCGCTCCTCCCTCTCCCGTCTACATTACTTGAGCCCCGTTATTTAAAGGCGGGTTTATCATCTTTTTCTCATCCCCCATCCAAACACACACACTTTCTTATTCGTCTAATTCCCGCCTAGCCCCCACCCCGCCAGCAGGACGGTCCCTTTTCTGTACAGACCGATGATTGTCCGGACAGTGAATGATCATTTTGTCTATATATATGAACATGACGCACGGACCGCATAGAAAAATTCAATCAGTTATGCATGGAGGAAAGGCTTAGGTCCGTTTCCTTGACAACCAATGCCCGGCACTAAATACTTGCATTTTACTTGCCAAATACTACAGATTAGCCAACTAAAGCCTGCTTTCTCCTTCTTAAAAGGTCTAAACATTCAAGCACCGTCCACTCAGCGCAAGCAAGCTAATGTTATTAGACGAATATCTCCTGGCACACAAAGGGGGGGGCAACATTTGGGGGGCGAGAGGAGGAGAAAAGCAGTCTTGTTTTCTGTCTGAAAGCCAACTGCATCACTTAGCAACGAGCCCGGAGGCCTGCCAGAATTCAACCCTTGTTTGCAGCCTTTTAGTTCGGCTCAGTAAATTACATTTAACGCAAGCTGGGAGGGTCTGGGATGATTGAACGGCTGAACAAACAGCTCCCTGTGCTGCCCACGAGGTCCTCAGTCGGCTCCCGCCCGGCCGTGGGGAGGGCAACGGGAAGCGATGGGAATGGGGAGAGGGGCTGCCGGCCGAGAGAAACCGCCTTTCGCCGTGGAGGTTTGGGAGAGGGGGGCGAAAGCTGAAAAATGGGAAAAGCAAAGGCTAAAAATGGAAACCCAACCATTGCTCGCCAACTGCTCACTTTGGCATCGCTCCTTGGCACGCCAGAGCCGAGCTCTCCCCGTGCTGGGCAGCCCCCAGGCGTTATCTTGCTACACGAGCCAAGCAGAGCACCAAAACACTCGCCGGAGCCATCTGCCTTCTGCCAGCACCATGGCTTACATCAAAACCATGAGACTAAATCACCAGCACGAAGGTGGATTAAGGGGTTTCTCTGTCACTCCCTTCGCTAACAGGGCTCTAACATGGGGAGAAGGGTTGTTCTCGGATGGCATGGGGGAAAGGGGACTCCCTCTTGCACGGGGAGTCCCGCTCCCTGCTGTGGTCTACAACGCGCCCTTGGCCGGGAACAGGAGGCAAAGAGAGCTGAGGATGCCAAACTCAGCTCACGCCGTACAGCCTGCACTGGGTGGCTGCTCTCCCCAGGGAACAGATCCCACAGGGAAATCCCAAGACAGGTCTGGGGAACCTACCTTTGATGCTGCTGAGAGACAGCGAGCGATCCCGGTCCGCCAAACTGGGCCCCAGTTTGCTGCTGCTGCTGCTGCTGTTGTCCTTCTGCCGGGCCACGGCCACGGCAATGCCGACAGGCAAGTGCCTCACCTCCACCTCACCCTGGGAGCCGATGCTCTCGCGGCCAAAGGATTTGGCGCTCTCGGGTCTCTCGGGGTCCCTCTTCAGCTGCTTCGCTGGCTGCTGCGACAGCAGCTGCTGCACTTTGGAGGCACCCAGCTGCGAAGAGTCCAACTTCATGTTGCCCAAGCCGCCAAAGGGGCTCTTCTTGCCACAGCTCTGCCGGGATGCGGTCTCCTTGGCAAAGCTGCCGCTATACTTGATGAGGCTCTGCATGGCTGACCCTTCGCCGTGGGAGGCGGGGTGGAGGACGTCTGCAGCGCCCCGTGAGCCCACCACCGAGGACCGTGGCAAGCCGCTGGGGTCAAGGTAGACCTTCTTGGCTTCCTCCTCTGCCCGGGTGACGTGGTTGTGCTGCGCAGCCAGCACAGCCATCTGCGTGGTGGCAAAGTTGCCCATTTCAAAGGGCTTCCACTTCTGCTCAGGCGGTTTCAACTGACCATGGTCCAGGTGCTGCCGGGAAGAGTCCAAAGTGCCGTAAACCTTTGCCGCCTCTTTGGAGCTGGATCGCTGGAAGCGGTCCCGCTCACAGGGGCGATGCTCTGCCTCTGGACTCGGCTTCAGCAAGTCCTTGGAGGCCAGGAACTCCCTGCTCTCCGGAGAGCCCAGCCCTGGCCGGTTGAGGAAGGGCTCCGAAGTGACCTGTCTCTTCAGCGCCATGGAGTTCGCCCTGATCACGGAGCCCTTCTCCCTCAGAGCCTCCATCCTTTTGGCATCACTGTGGCAAGAAAAGTCCTGGGACAAGAGCGTGCGGGAGGCATCCGCGAGGCATCGCTCCGTGGGCGACTGCAGCACCCCCACCTTACCGAGGTCCTTGTCCTTTGCCTTGTTGTCACGGGCCTGCGAGGCGATTTGGATGGGCCCGCTCCTCTCGTCGTAGGCTTCGACCGAAGGCACGAAGGTGGGGGCGATGACTTTGTGCTCCCTCCCCAGCTCCTTGGCCGGCGGAAAGATGGTATACATGCTGGAATGGACGGGCTGCAGAGGGAATGTCGTGGCTGGCGTCATCTTCCCTGGCTGCGAGGGGTGCGGGGACGGGCAGCTGCAGGAGACGTGCAAAGCGCCCATGGAGGGCAGGAGGGGCTCCCCCCGCTCCAGCCGCTCGGAGTGGGCGTGCGCAGAAGGCCTCATGTTCTCATCGTGCCGAGTGGGATCCTTGGCACAGCGGTCCTGCTCGGCACCCAGGACCTTCAGCATGGGGTCCCCGCCGCCGTTGCAGTTGCTGAGGGAAGAGCTCTGCAGCGGGTTCTTGGACTTAGGTTCCCCACCACCCACGCCCCGATTTGGCATGTGCTCAGCCAGGAACGGTGAGAGACGCTCGCTGACCTTCACTGCCTTCTCCACCACGCTCACTTTCCGGTCGCTGTCGGGTTTGGTGTCCTGCGTGAGGTCTACCACACTGCGGGGTCGGGGCTCCTCCTTCGGCTTGCCCTCCTTCTTGTTGAAGGGCAGGGACAGATTGCTCCGGCCTGCCCCCCCCCTCCCCCCCGCG